AAATTGTGAACAACTATCAGGACACCGCGAATAATGTGCGGTTTGCACCAAGACGTTTCATTTTATTTTGATTCTTTGCAAATTAACTTTAATGAACAAGATTATCAATAAATACATGTATTTTGAAGATAAGTCGTTTTAATGTTGATCTCTTTCTTAGGATTTTTATGTACATATTCACTACCATGCAGTTATTAAACATGACATGTGAATGATTTTTGAAATACATTTCTGATACATATGTCGCCGATTTGTAGCTGAAATATTGCCGATTCGACGTAAAACATTTAATCAATCAATCTGATACATATGCGGTGTATAAAATGATTAAAAGGTCCCCATTGAGTTTTTAATTAAATATTCCTGTTTGTGAATTTAGAAAACTTCACAAAAATGAACCTGTTCGTATTGATCCTAGGTTGTTCACATGACTCGCGAGCCGATGAATTACGAGGTCAACCGAACAATCTGGTATATTCCCTAATCCATTGATTTTCAGAGCATAATTATAGCCCCCTCCCGTTTTTGGAGAGGTACAGGTAGTCGAACGAACTATTTAATTTCACTTTCAGCATTTCTTAATTTTGTTTTTACGCTTTTACAGTTGAGTACCAGTTCGAAGGTTTGATAGGCCAATGACTCACATAGAAAGGGAAATTATGAAAGCAATCCCTTTTACGGGGAAAATAAATCATGAATGAATATCAAAATATTTTCAAGTAACAACCCCCTCCTCTATTTAAAAAACGATCGATTGTCTTAATCATTGAGAACCTTAACTTGCATTAAATTATGATGTGTTTTTAAATTTTACTGCACTTTCTAGGATTCATGTATTCATCTATTTTTTATCCTTTTCCCGGAAAGGGGCGTGTGTTTAATTTGGTCAATATTATACCTGCATGTTTTAATTCATGCGCTTTTCCGATATCTAAATATAAAATAAAATTCATATAGATACTTAATAATAGTTTTTTACGATCTTAGAAAGAATACATTGGGTATGGACTTATGAGATTCCCTCTTTTTGTTCCTTTATCACAAAATACTTAAATGTGGGAACAGCGGTATAGAAGGAAATCTACAAATGTCCTAGCTAGTAAGCCCCACCTTAAAAAAATTAAGACCCTCGAATAAGAGGCTCGATATTTTGAGTCTGAATTTTATTCAATATAATACAATGCAGCCAAGTAGCATCGTTTTTGAAAGTGGGGGGAGGGACTGAAAAAAAAATAGCTACCTGAAAAGTTTACAAACAAAAAAAGGGGGTGACTCAGGAAAAGTTGCCCAAAGTTGACAGTCCTATTTTGTGGAGTTGGGGGGAGGGTGGGGGCTTACTTTTTCAATGCCAATTTTTTCCCGTACCAATTGCCTGCAGTAGGAGTAAAACCTTAAGGAGTGGATCTCATCATTTCAAAGAAGCGGTAACTGACCACTGGCACCCCAGTGTTAGTCAGGGATGGGAGTGAAAAGATGTTTGATAAGAAGTAACTGACTTTTTGAATTTACTAGTGGGCTCTCAGAAAATATACTTTCAGAATGGCAGACTTTAGGCCTATAATATATACCGGTATAGATCCATTATTTCCGAATATTTACAATCAATATATCCGACTTTAATATCACATGTCTAGTTGCTACGTGTGTATGTCATGGTCCAAAGAGCTATTTATGTATTAAAAAAGGATGAATCCTCCTGATTAGACAAAGTGTATATCTCTCTTTACAGAATAATTTGTGCAAATATCTAATTTGTCCGAACGAATTTCTAATTTGTCCGAACAAATATCGAATTTGTCCGAACAAATAACTTATTTGTCCGAACAAATTTCTAATTCTCCGAACGAATTTCTAATTTGTCCGAATGAATATCTAATTCGTCCGAACAAATAACTAATTCGTCCGAACAAATTTCTAATTCTCCGAACGAATTTCTAATTTGTCCGAATGAATATCTAATTCGTCCGAACAAATAACTAATTCGTCCGAACGAATATCTAATTCGTCCGAACAAATAACTAATTCGTCCGAACGAATATCTAATTCGTCCGAACAAATAACTAATTTGTCCGAACAAATAAAAATATTTTTTTTTACCTGGTCCTCCAGCGGCGCCGTAAAATAGCTTCCTATCATTGCTGAAAGTTTCCTGAAAAACTGTCGAGGCGTTCTCGAGAAATCGTCTGCACAAACTCGGTAAGAAAAAAAATCAGTAAAAAACGTGATTAGAACTCCAAGTTAAGAAGAATACAAATAATGTGCAAAGAAAAAACAAGCATTAAATTTATTATTATACATGTATTTATCTTATCTCACGCTACAGCTCACAATGTCTTTCTTTATAAAGTACCTAAATTTAAATGTCCCCGCCCATTTTCATGTAATAAAGAAACCGTACTCTGTTCGTAAGAAAATGTTCCGGATTTTGTATTAAAGATAGGTGTTGGAAAATGGCTTGTATTTCTTGATATTCAAAGTTATTGGTAATGATTGCGCAACATTTTAATGAGAAATACTATGTTATACATCATGAAAATAAAAATGATTCTGTATCCTCAGGTATATTCTGTAAAATAAGGGCAAAAAGCTATAGGAAGAATATTGTACTTTTTGTATATTTTTTATATTGTAAGTACCAGTCTAATCGTGTACAAATTTCCTACTTTCACACAAGTTCTATGAATGTAATATGCGTCTTTTATCATTGGCACAAGTTTGTACAAAGTTAGGCTCATGGTAAACAAAAGCTTTGAAATGAATGACCGTTCTCGATTTACTATAGAAAATCACACATGTCGGCTGACCCCTGCCACATCCTATGGTTTTGTTCTTTGTATATTTCGTGAATTTCAGCGGTACACATTGTTGATTCTTACGGTGAAAATATCAGTTAATGATTTGGGATGAAAAATTTGGCATAATTTGATTGTTTATTTTTTTCACAATTACCGGGGCCCATAAGTTCACTCGTACTTTGAAAAATCGCGATCACCCCTGTTTTTAATTTGTCCCGGCCCAAGATTACCTACCCATTTTACAAACACTCTCAATCTTATGGGTAAATATGTGAAGTCCTCAAGGACCGATAAAGGTTTCAAAATTTAGAAAAAGCTAATCGATTTCCGTTCTAGTTGATGGCTTTAGACCACATGCGTGTAGTATTTTGTTTCTTATATATTGCTTTAGTTTTACTTAATACTTTAAACACGTGGAGATACATGTACAAGAAACAATTTTATCGTTATCTATGCAGCATGAATTACGGAAGCATTTTCAGTTTTTTATCTAATAAAAAATCCAAATTATGAAAATGTTTGTTCGTAGTTTAAAGTCTCTCTCGAGAATTTTTCAATCATATGGAGACGCTGCTAATTGTCAGTGGAAAGCCGCAAATTTTCAGCTATACTTAGCACTCAGGACCACTGAGCAGTAAGAGATTTTATATTACTTTTGCTATCATTCAAGTACTGCGACAAGACAGTTTATCAGTCTCCACGTCCCACAGTGGGATTTGGGTCTCCGACGGACGGATCAATCTTTTACTCCTCGATTCTGGAGTGAAATATATTGAAATAACAAACTGTATTCAAGATCAAATGTCCATAAAACAATACAAAATAGGAGCAGAGCAAACAAGGGCCTCAAACATTATAGGTAGAATCAGGTGCAGACACTATACCAGAACGCCACAAAGACGACTTATTATGAATATGAAATCACTTGAAAATGAGACGAAAGAAATTTAGCATCGGTGCAGACATATTTTATGCCAGGTAAATTTCAAAAACCTGACTGGGGTAAGAGTAACCGAGTTCAACATAATATACAATTTTATATGGTAACTTAAATATATTCAGCACAGCCTTCTCATAAAATAGCGCGGACCTTTGTCTATTTTAAGCTTTTTTTTTTTTTTAATTCGGGATTTCTTGTAGTCGAAAGATTAAAAAGTTTTGGGTTGTTCTGTTGCATCTTCTCTGCAGTATCTATCCCACAACAGCACTGTTTAGAACAGATTTTCTTGAAAGTCAAACGCATTTGCTTGGCATCTTCTTTTTTCGTAAAGGAGAAGAATTATCAGTGTGCAATTAGGTCGATTTGGACCAGTATATAGAAAATCCATTGTTAGCGTCTGCAAACTACTGATTATATATCTATCTGAGCTATAATGACGTTGCAAATGCTTCAGGAATAAAAATGAAGTATGATTGAGATAGGATTTTGCTTTTCATGTACGTTTTCGTGAATTTCGCCCTAGGGCAGGGGTGTCCCTAAAAATGTTATAAATTATTCCTGAGATCTTATGCTATCAAGTTTTTTTAACATAATTTAGAGTCAAGACTGCCTTGAAGAATTTTTCTCCACAAAAATTTATGCCAAAATTGGTTTATTAGACAAAATGTTGTTTTGGCAACCTATATGGAGGTTTACTTTATTGTGCAATTATTATCTTTTTTATTTGCATAAAATGCATATTTGAAAAATTTAGACAAATATACGATAGAAACAACTAACGAACATTGATTCTGAAATGTGACTTTTTCCGAATTCCAAATACATCCTTTAGTTCTTATATACATGCATCCAAGGAATCAAACGGCATCTTTATCGATAGATGTGAATCATTCGTCAATAGCAGGTTTAAATTGGTACACAATGACAACACTTACAGTGTATGCTTATTTTTAAAAATATTTTTCTTCAACTTCTTACCTGATAATTTTTTTTCTTTTATTGAACATTTAATTATTGATTTAATTATCTTGTAGAATCGAAATTCGATAATACAATGTATGTGTTTTTCCCGGGATGAAACGGGCAAATTTTAAAGACATTAAGAAAGAGTGTAGTATCGTACACATTCAAGACGTTGAGATGTGCATTTGCAAATCAGAATATTTAGGATTTGGAGTTAAATGTTTGTGTATCTCTTTCAATTATCTTTTTTTTTGATCTGGTGTGTTATTAATATATTAAAGGGTTATTATGAATAAAATCAGGAAACCTTAAACTTAACCAGACCTGTGAGCGACATGAACAGTGCACTGCTGTACAAGACTTGGAATGTCAGAATGGAACATGTATGTGTCGAGATGGGCACGTAACTGTTAATGAGACTTACTGTAAACCAGGTAATTATAGCATATTCATACAATAAATATCAATATTGGATATTTCTTAAATAATTCATTTGTAAAAAGACTTAGATATATGCTCCATATTTAAGTTCTTATTCACATAAACAATCCAGTATAAAATTATATATTTAATATAATTTTTATCATTATCTCAGTGGAAATAAATGGAAAGGAGCCAGCCAAAATGTTTTTAAATCAAGAACAAGGTTAGTACTTTACCTTCACTTCATCAATAGTTAAACATTATCATGATTTTAATATTTCTATGGAACATACAACACTTTATTGTGGTATCCTTTCACAGGATTCTGTTTGTGTAGGACGTAATTATAAGAATGTTTTACAGTAACTTATTTATTTAATCATTTGAACGGTAATTAGATTTTCTATTATGTTTGTGTCGTTAGATATTTATCCCTTAAAAATAATTGCATATTGAAAATAATACTCACACAATTTGAACATAGAACTGTCTATCAATTGCATAAAAATTTAGGGGACAATAATTTGATATTCATGAAGCTGAGGGAGAAAGTGAGATCTAAATTTATTAAAAAAGGAAAGGTAAACAAACTTTTATTCGCGTGCAAAAATTATCTGCGAGTTTTGTGACCTACTTTTGCTTTAGAGAATATACAAAATAGAATGTACGAAATCCAGAAGAAAAATCCTCAAAATCAATAGAATGTTTAATAAGCTTTAATCATCATGTGTAAATGCTAAAATCTCAACAAAAAAAATAATAAATTAAAAAAAAAATAAAAAAGAGGATTTTGATCCTTTTTGCCTTCTGCCTTCCAACTTCAGCCGCTGTTTAATTTAAACGAACATTTATAATTCAAGGTACATGAATGATTTAATTTTCAAACACTACATATTTACAGTGTTGTAACTAATATTGTTTGGTTGTTTAATTAGTTGTAGTGCTAAAATTTATTTTGCCCTTGTTTTTTATAATTTCTTAACGTTTTTCATTTGTGTTTATGTAAAGACGGGGATCGGATCCGGAAAACCAAAATTTGACAATTCCTATTTATCATGATTTTCGTTACTTATGGTGCTTATATAGATATCAATTGTTAACCTTGTAGTACAACCGACTTAAAGCACATCGACAGATCAGACGAATTTCAAAGCGGTTCAGATTTCTCTCTAAAAACTGATTATAAACTTCAAATGGAACATGTAAAACTCTAAATATGTAGTGTTTTGCAGTTTAACATAAGTTCTAGTTGTTTGTTTTGTTTTTAGCTCGCCTGAGCCAAAGGCTCAAGTGAGCTTTTCTGATCACAATTTGTCCGTTGTCTGTCGTCGTCGTTGTCGTCGTTGTGAACTTTTCACATTTTCAACTTCTTCTCAAGAACTGCTAGATCAATTTCAACCAAACTTGCCATAAAGCATCCTTAGGTAAAGGGGATTCAAGTTTGTACAAATAAAGGGCCACGTCCTTATTCAAGCGGAGATAATTGGGAATTAATGAAAATATGGTGGTATCTTTTAAAAGTCTTCTTGTCAAGAACCACTGTGCCAGGAAAGATGAAACTTATGGGGAAACATCCTCAGGTGGTGTAGATCCAAGTTTGTTCATATCATGAAAAATGGCCGACCAAAGTTTTATATAGAAACATATAGGAAAATTCTTTAAAAATCTTCTTCTCAAGAATAACAAAGCCACAATTGATCATATTCATATGGATATGAATATTCATATTCATATTCATATTCATCCCCATGGGTGTAGGGTGGTGCCAAAATGGCCGACCAAAGTTTTACATAGAAATATAAAGGAAAATTCTTTAAAAATCTTCTTCTCAAGAATAAAAAAGCCATAATTGATCATATTCATATGGAAAGATCCACAGGTGGTGTAGATTCAAGTGTGTTCATATCATGACCCCCGGGGGTTAGGCAGGGCCAAAATGGCCGACCAAAATTTTACATAGAAATATATAGGAAAATTCTTTAAAAATCTTCTTCTCAAGAATAACAAAGCCATGATTGATCATATTTATATGGAAGCATTCTTAGGTAGTGTAGATTCAAGTTTGTTCAAATCATGACCCCCGGGGGTAGGACAGGGCCAAAATGGGTTCCAAAGTTTTACATAGACATATAAAGGAAAATACTTTAAAAATAATCTTATCAAGAATAACAAAGCTATAATTGATCATATTTATATAGAAGCATCCTTAGGGAGTATAGATTCAAGTTTTTTTTCAAATCATGACCCCCGGGGGTAGGGCGGAGCCACAATGGCCAATCAAAGTTTTACATAGACATATATAGGAAAATTCTTTTAAAATTATCTTATCAAGAATAGCAAAGTCATGATTGGTCATGGGACTACTTTTGGATATAAACTATTTTATAATGAACCAATATCTACCTTTTCCCAGCCACAGTGCTCAGGTGAGCGATGTAGCCCATGGTCCTCTTGTTTTCTCTGTTTCCTTTGTTTTATGACTTCTTCACATTTTTTCTTCATCCCGAGGAAGGGATAGGGCTTACCGAAAATTTGACAGTTTATATTTTTTAATTTATAGCAAATGGAATAGGAGCTACAATAGGAGCTGTTTTCGGGGGATTCTTTCTAGGAGTAGTATTAAGTGCTCTCATTACATACTTAATATCCAGAAGATATATGGCCAACATACAAAAACGGTTAGTCTGCTCCTTTTTAGTTACATTGATCATTTATATCAGTTATATTAGATGACGCATACGCAGACGATAAAAAATATTTTGATAATTTACATCACATTTAAAATTGTGGAACTTTTGTTTAATTTTAAATAACAAGGACAACGACATTTTTTCATGCTTATGGCCCCTGATTATTTCTAGAAATATACCAGAACGAATTTTATATTTAACTGATATCTTTTTATTATCAAGGTATAACATATAAGATAACTTTTTGAATAAAGAAATTTTATATTAATGAAATAATTTCCATGAATATTTATAAACAATATTGGTTTGAACAATAAGCGTTTTAATTATTCCAGTCCTAATTTCCTCTGTTAATTCTTCAATTCTTACCCATTTTAATTCTCGTTTTATAAAAATCTGAATAATAAGAACATTAAATTATGTATAAACTCATTTTTCTTGTGTAAACCTGATGCTGCTGATATCTATATTTTACTTGGCCAGTAATCAAGTTTTAAAAACAGGTTGTTCGCAATGGATTTTGTTCATATTTTCAATTTTTTTTATTGCAAATTCAGCTAAATTATTTGAAATAATACATCGGTTCTGGCCTTTAACTTAATAATATTTGCAATTTGTTGTTAAAAGTCACATAAAATCATAACGTTACGAACAAAATTCCAATAAAACGTTTTTTGTAAAAGGGAAATAATTATTATTTTAGAATTTCCCCTGCTTAATTATAAATTTATTTCTGTTCTTCTTCCATATTGAGTTACTTCAACTAGAAAATATTATATATCATATGGTCATTTCAAGCATTTCGACGAATTTTTTATGCGAGGCTTTGTATTTACTTTTAAACAAACTTTACGCTCAATACTCATACAGTTGAAAAAAAACAGTGTTATAAATTATTTTTATTCTATTAATTTAACTTTGTACAAGTTTTTTTCTCTGTTATATCACACAGTGATGAGACAAGTATAAAATTTGACGGACATAGTACCCACATTGCACCAATATCTGAAAGCAACCGGACTCAGTCAGCAAAAACTACGGAACAGACTTATCAGGTATTTAAATTGATGTTCACATTGTAATTTTCATGAAATATTCTGTTATTTAAGTATAACTTGCAAAGGGAAAGCTTGGGCACATGGAAATCGTATGTTTGTTTTTAAATTGTGATATATATCGTATGAAATGAAATGCATTTTGATTATTAGCTCACCTGAGTCGAAGGCTCAAGTGAGCTCTTCTGATCAAAATTTGCCCGTCGTCTGTCGTCGTCGTCGGCGGCGTTGTCGTCGGCGTAAACTTTTCACATTTTTCATCTTCTCAAGAACCACTGGGCAACCAAACTTGGCACAAAGTATCCTTAGGTGAGTGGAAATCAAGTTTGTTAAAATGAAGGGCCAAGCCCTTTTCCAAGAGGAGATAATTATGAATTAATAAATAATTAATGGCATTTTTCAAAAAAAAAAAAAAATGAAACTCATGTGAAAGCATCCTCATGTAGTGTAGACTCGCGTTTGTTCAAATCATGAGCCCCAGGGGTAGGGTTTGGGCCACAATGGCCGATCAAAGTTTTGCAGAAGAGAATAAAGAAAAAATCTTTAAAAATCTTCTTCTAAAGAACCACTGTGCCAGGAAAGATGAAACTCATGTGGAATCATCCTCAGATAGTGTACATTCATGTTTGTTTAAATCATGACCCCTGGGGGTAGGGTGGGGCCACAATGGCCGATCAAAGTTTTACATAGGAATATATAGGAAAAATCTTTTAAAATCTTCTTTTAAAGAACCACTGGGCCAGGAAAGATGAAACTTATGTGAAATCATCCTTAGGTGGTTTAGATTCACGTTTGTTCAAATCATGACCCCTGGGGATTGGGGGGGATGGGGCAAAATGGCTGATCAAAGTTCTACACAGGACTAGATAGGGAAATCTTTTACAATTGTCTTCTCAAGTAATCAAAGCCATGATTATGATATTTATGTGGAATCTACCTCAGGTAGTGTAGATATCGATTCTAGTTTGTTTAAATCATAACCCCCAGGGATAGGGTGGGCCACTATTGGGGACCCGAGTTTTACATTAAAAAAAATATATATATATATATATATATATATATATATATATATATATATATATATATATATATATATATATATATATATATATATATATAATCTTCTCAAGTATAGCAGAGCCATTATTATTTATAGTAGTATTTATATGGAAGCATTTTCGGGTAGTGTAGAATTAAAATCGTTCAAATCAAAATCACCAAGGGTAGCATGGGGCCACAATGGTAGATCAAAGTTTTACTTAAAAATAAAGGAAAAAATCTCAAAGGCAGAAAAGCTATGTTTAGCCATATTGACATTTATAAATATCCTCATGTATTGAAGATTTTAATTTATTCAAATCATGGCCCTTTGGTTTAAGGAGGGAAACAGTGGGGAATCAAATTCAAATTATTATGAAGTTATACATAGGAAGAAAATGTTTAAAAACATATTATTATCAAGAACAGCAAAGTCAGATGCTGTAGTAATATGAAGGCAATCTCAAGTACATTTAGTATTAAAATTCAAGCCCCCCCCCCCCCTTTCAGTGAACCTTTCAGTTTTGATCTGATTTGTGCTTTTTCCTAGCTGATTTGCTCAGGTGAGCGATGTGGCCCCTCGGCCTCTTGTTCTAATATTGTAGTTTGTTATCACTAAAAATAAAGCCGTTGAAGACATTATTTAATCAAAATATTAAATTGAATTGTCAATGCAAAATTAGAAAACCAGATTCATCCTTTCTTATTCTTGTCCTTTAAATGGTCGGAATTTTAAAAAAAAGTTCAAAAAACTACCAGTAGATAAAAAGTAAAATATATTGAAAGTCTCGACTTGCCAGATTGTGTTTTAAGAAATGTCTAGGTTTACTGAATTATTGCTGTTGTTTGAGTTGTTAAAAATATAAAAAAAAATCTTGTACAATTTAATTGAAATAACGTTTGAAAACTTGATTAATTTGTTTTCGTTTCTACAATTCATCACTAGTCATCTGGTTGCTTCATAGAAGTATTGTTCTTGGAACGTTACAAGATAATGCATTCATATTTAAATTATTTTTAACTGTCTACGTGATATCTATCTACTAAAGGAAATCTGAAAGATTACAGAATCGTTTGAAAAGTAAAATACTGACACTTTTTGCAAATTGATTAATGCACGTGTACTAGTGTATGCTAAAAGATCATTTATTTGGTAGCGAAAGATCGTTAATGTTCCACCCTACTCACCTTCAATGGAATCCCCAATGTACAGTAACGTTAAAGAGGCTAAAACATCACAGATGAAAGAAGAAGATGTCTACAACCATCTTCACGAAAAAGAGCATGAGGAACCGGAGAACGTATACAACCATGCTTCCTGTTCCTCTGGTCTGACTACGGAAGCCGATTACGGCCATTTAAATGCAGGACGAAGTAATGAAGGAGTTGTCTTACCTGAAGACGATGTGTATGCTCATACGGAAGCGGCGAATCACGATAACTATTTTGTCCTTGAAAATCAAAGTCAAATCTGAAGCAAAAAATTTGCATTTTTTTTTATATCTTTGTGAATTAAAATGTTTCTTTTGACTTTGTAATGATTTAGAGCAGATTTTAATGGATGTTTTGTACTGCCATAAAGAAATGTTTATTACATTAAAATATTTCAGAAGAAACTATAAGAACAGATTATGAAGACCATTTTTGTAAATTTAAATGTTCATTTCATTTTGTTTATTCAAATTATTGTTAGAGAGATGTGGTTTTAATGACTAAATATTTGTATGGACATTTTTAATAAGACTGATTTTTTAATTTAATAATTAAATTGAATAGTGTTATTATTTTTAGTACTTTTTCTTAAATATTTATACTTTATTCAAATTTCTATTCACATTGTGCATCAATTTTGTCAATTGTATTCGTGTGAATATAAAAAAGCATCAATTATTACGAAATTAGCTATTTTAAAAATACTTTCATGTTTTTGAATCATTGCGTTTCATCTTGATTTTCGTTAGAAAAATACGAGAACAAAAACACTCAAAATCAGTAGTACTTTAAAGAAAATAGAACCGAACATGTTGACTACTTTTGATTTTGCAGAATGAACGCGAAGTGACACAAGTGTTTATGAAATTTCTGTGTGTATACATATGTATGTTTTTAAAAGAATTTTTTAAAGAAATCATCTTGCCTCTTTTATCTTTAACACATCATTGTTTTCAAAATGTTTATACATGACATCCGGCTTGAAAAGTGGTTGGGTACATAGTGATCGGAGTTTCTGTCCGTCCTTCTCTCTGCCCGCTTGTTACGCACTAATCCGCATCTCTTGCACCACTGAATGAAATTTAATGAAACTTTCAGAGAATGTTTGTTACAAAGTGCAATTGTGCACCCCCTTTTTGGATCGGACCCATATTTTGGGTTTCCCAAAGCGAAACATTGACCTGCCATTCTTTCTATAAATTGAAGGGTACCAATCTCTTATCTGGAAATCCTGAATAATTCTGAAATACCACTGAATAAAATTCAATAATGCAATAATTAAATAATACCATTGTGCAACTCATATTTTACTGTTTACTATGACACTTTCCAGAGCAAATCATGGGCTTTGCCATTATAAAGGAAAGATGATATCATTTATTGAGCTCGGTGTTCACAGTAGATCAATTTTTATAACTTAATGTCAAAAATATGCATTAGCACAATTTGAATTTAAAAATATGTCATAATTACATGCATGTAAGTAATGTATTTTGCTATTTTGAATTTTTTATTAATGGTCATTAACATTGAAATTGTTTGTTTTGCTTTTATGTGTTTTATAAGAAATGTATTAAAATAGATTACGTATATGTCTTTCTTACTACAATATATTAAATGTATATTTCATTAATTTTTTTATCGATGAAGAGCAAGGTTTCTAATTAAGACTTTTTTAAATTTTATAAAGTATGTGGAGATAACGAACAGTATTCAAGCTCACAAGTCCATTAAACATTACATAATAGGGGTGAAGCAAACAAGGACAACCAAAACATCAGAGGTGGGATCAGGTGCCATTGAGAAGCGAGGTTCTTTTACCAGTCAAAATTAGTACTCATTGGAGATTGTGTTTTAGTACAGGTTGATATTCTTTATGCAATCCTATTGGTGTAATTTATTACGCCTCGTTTTTACAAATATGTCTTTCCTATTTTACTTGTATGCTAAATTTTACCCACAGCTTCAACAACAAAGGGAAAATCCTTCAAAATCATGTTACAGTTTTAAATACTTAAAATTTACAGCAGTCAAAGTTCTTTTTTGAATTGCATACCTCTTCTAGATTTCTAAACAACAACTTAAAAAAGAAAAACAAATGAAATTTGAAAAGTTACTTATCTTTTAATTAACTGTGGTCATTTGCAACATTTATTTTTTAAAAAAAAATTCTGATTGTAAATCTAAGTATGCTGAAGGTGATATTAAAAAGATGCAGATACTAGAGTACTCGTATCTGATTTACAGTCTATGTACTTTTCGGAGACAAGGCCCTGGGATCACGAAACAAATTTAAAATTAAGTCGGATTTTCAATCAGCTGTCAAATGCTTATTAAGTATTTAATCAGTTTCTAAATTTGCAGTTAACCACACGCTTGCAATATTGAAAAATATTTTAATTTGTGTCTGTTTGACTTCGACAACATTTTAATTCAACATAAATACATGTATTGTGACTTATCCTTAAAATGTAGAATGATCCCGTTAACTCAGTCGTAAACACCAGCTAGGATAAGGCTGTCCGTCAAATATCAAACTGTTCAGACTGTAGTAACTTCTCTGAACTACCTAGAGATGACGTCATAATAGAATATGACGTCAAGTCACTGCATACTTGAGCTGACATGACGGGGAAAGTGTCATAATTTGTACATAGCATGTAGATTTATTTGGGGGACTTATTGTTTAATTCAAGTGTTAGGATTGTTTTAAGCTCCGATGTATTATGATGAAGTTGAACATTTGAAATTTAAATATTCTTTTTTTTTTTTGCTTGTCTGATATGCACATACTCAAACAATAGAGAAAAATTATGTGTGAAACGCTCCCCTCACATGTCCGTAGACATAGTTAGAATTTAAGAATCGTCTTTATATTGGACTGGCACAAGTGAAAGACAAGGATAAATTGAAGATATTCTGCGTGAATCTACAAGAGAGGTATGTCCTCTAACTGAATTTTGCTGGGGGATTGTGTGTAGTTTATCCATTTTTCTATAAATTGCGGTAAGGCGTGGAAAATACCCCCTCTTATGTTGGTAAGTTGAATTTCTCGTAAAATATTTTCTTAACAAGTAAAAATTAAACCTACCCCCAGCACTTTCTATGTACCAGAGATCACGATGAATCGATCTATGTAGCAAACTTTGCACAATATTTTTGTTTTGCACTTGTGCCGAAGCGATTTTTGTGCAACATTTAGGAATGTCATAAATCTCCGTCACGTGATCAACCCAGTCATATGACATCACAAAAATACTTTATTATATTACCTGATTAAACCATTATCTCAAGTTGACTGCAATTTCAAACAAAGGTTACATATTGAAATTAAAATCTAGTTCAAAATAAAATGTATATTTTTAAGGCATTTAAGGCTTTCGGACAGCCTTATCATAAATTTTGAATGCCCAGGTTGAGCAACCTCTTATGAAGCAAGCTTCATATCTGAATGTAACAGAGAAAAATCTCGTTAATTCTTGGATGTGATTAACACGAAAAGATCCATTTTTAATATTATATGCATTAAGGCAGCTGTTAATGCCATCGAAAGTAAATATGAACTGGCTGGATTAGTACCTTAATTAATTCTAACGAATCTCATTAAGATGAATGTATTAGGTTGATGGGACTGACGTTAAAAAACAACGACAATCATAATGTCAAACGTCATAAAACTATTCGGTATCAGCACTGGTAGATTATAATTAAAAAGTTTTTCTTTTTTAATTTTAAAATCCTCTTGCAGAACATCAACGTATCAAGCTGATACTAAAATTCTGCATTTCTGAAAAATTGTAGTTTTATGATCTTCACAAAGGATGACTGCACTTAACGCCGGTTTTTTGGGTCTTTTTCAATCTCTGTTGTCACATTTATATTTGTTTTTTTTTTTTTTGCCTTAAGTCATTTGTTATAGAGTTTGGTCTATTTCCGAATGAAAGGCAGTGTCATGAAGGTTGTAAACTGCGTTGCAATAAAATAATTCTTTCTTACCCCACCTGTCTGCAAATATCGGGAAATTAGACTTATCTGCCCTTGATTGGAGATAAGATTTATCAATATGCATAGGGGGCGGAGCTAATATTGTGAAAAGTGGTCTAAAATTAGAATAGTTACTGTATTTATATTTGGTGCATTCTCTCTCATCATATGTTTGTCACTATTATTTTTTAAGTTTTCAAATAAAGTATATAACTAATAACAAATAACATCGACCGGTAGAAGTAGCCATTGATAATCAACAGCAATGGCTGATGTCAACAATTCGTGTGTTCGAATATAAGTGCCGACTAGCTCAGTCGGTAATGCACAGAATCAATAATATTGAGGTCTGGGATCGAGACCCGCTAACAGCATTAAGATTTGCTTTTTTTACTTTAAAAAAAAGAAAGGAAAACGTCACAATTACTTAATTTTTTCTTAATTTCTTCTCCCCATAAATTAGTATGCTGTGGATGGTATGATTTCATTTTTATTTACTGGATTTTACTTTGGATGTTCATGATAAGCAATGGTTGAAATCATAATAAATGAATCTCTTTTTTCTTGTAGACTACGAACATGTAGAGACATATAATACAATCGAAAATATATAAATATAGTAAAATGAAATGCTTTTGAGATAAATATAAGAATAATCTTATAGATATCTAAGAGACAAAAGAATAGCCCGTGGCTCGATGGGAATGGATTGAAAGAGATATAGACAATCACTATCGCCCAGCAGAATTCATGTTTCCATACACATCACGTGATGGAATTTTAGTATTCACAGAGTTTCCTGGGTATAGAAATCACGTGGTTAATTATAATATTCAACAGGTAACAACGTGGTCAAAATAGCCTGTTCACTATAGAGAAAGTGAACACACGAAGAAACAGTTTTTTTTTCTCTTTTTAACCATGAGCGCATGTTTGTCTATTGATCTCCTTTTAATATGAGGTAAGATATATAATTACTATATATTATTATATATACTACTACCATAAAAAGGAGAACAATAGACAAACATGCGCTAACTTTGTATTAAGCTTGTAAAAAGGTGGGCGTACTCATTATCCTATGGAGATTACAGAATATGCGAAGACCCCTCCCTATAAAAACGACTTCGAACTTCGTTAATAACAACTTTTAATTAACATAATTACATAAAGTTGCAGTTAACACATTGGTCATTTCTACCATTTAAAGAAATATGCCCATTTTTAAAATTAATTATGTCGCAATTTCTAAGTTACCTTAAGTGCAGTCATCCTTTGGTAGAAAAGACGACACACCATTTTAGTTTTATGAAGAGACTTACTTTTACATTCGACGGCTGACTTTTACATTTTAGTAAATGGAGTTTGTATGTGTTTAATTTGTAAAAGTCAGTCGTCAACTGTAAAAGTAAGTCTCTTCATAAAACTCCATAAATGTTATCTCATCAGTCAACGAATTTTTTGTAACCCTTGGAATTCATTTTACAACTAAGTTTTATGATAAATGTACTTTTT